TAGATAGATAGATGATAGATGATAGATAGATAGATAGATAGATAGATAGATAGATAGATAGATAGATAGATAGATGATAGATAGATAGATAGATAGATATAGATGATAGATGATAGATAGATAGATAGATAGATAGATAGATAGATAGATAGATATAGATAGATATCTGGTTAGCAGTTTCTTTATTTTTTAATTGTTGACAGGATTACTACCCCGCTTCACCCAATCCCTGCCCCACCCCAGGTCTTCCCCACGGTATTGTCTGTGTCCATGGGTTATGCCTATAAGCATATATGTTCTTTGGTTAATCTCTTCCTGTCCTCTCTCCGCCTCACCACCCCCACACTGAGATCCCTCCGTCTGCTCCATGCTTCCGTGTCTCTGGATCTATTTTGTTTGTCAGTTTATTTTGTTCCTTAGATGACACATATAAGTGAGATCATGGGGTACTTGTCTTTCTCTGCCTGGTTCTTTCACTCAGCATAATACTCTCCGGGTCCGTCCCTGCTGTCCCGAAGGGTAAGAGATCTACCTTTTTCACAGCTGCGTAGTATTCCATGGCGTAGATGTACCGCCGCTTTTTTATCCGCTCGTCTACGGATGGGCACTCGGGCTATTTTCAGATCTTCGCTATTGTAAATTGCCCTGCTATGAACATAGGGGTGCGTGTATTCTTTCTGACGGGTGTTTCAGGAGTCTCAGGACATATTCCCAGAAGTGGGATAGGTGGGTCAATAGCCATGTTGGAAATTTGGGTAAAGACAAGGGTGCTGATGACCAAGTCGCAAGGAGCAGAGGATGACCCCGGTCCATGAGCTGCCTCACGCGCTGGCTATTTAGGCGGCAGACATCTGATCAACTCTCACAGACACAGGATGGCAAGGTGCCCTCTGTTTCTCAAGCCAGCTTCCAAGGCAAAACACACAGGGTGGCATCAACAAGGCTCTTGCTTTCCAGTGTGAAGGAAACACAATCATCTACACCCAAAATGCATTATTTGAAGATGTAAAAAGTACTCATGGCCCGGCCGGTGTGGCTCAGCCGTTGAGCATCGACCTAGGATCCGGGAGATCTGGGTTCGATTCCCGGTCAGGGCACATGCCCAGGTTGTGGGCTCGACCCCCAGTCAGGGGCTTGCAGGAGGCAGCTGATCAATGACTCTCTCTCATCATTGATGTTTCTTTCTTTCCCTCTCCCTTCCTTTCTCTGAAATAAAAATATATATATTTTTAAAAACCACAAACTCATGGATTCACTAAGTGCATCTTCTAGCTCTCTCAGGGGAAGGGGTCCAGAAAACCAGGGCATTCCCAAAGCTACTGGGCAGGAGACCAAGTGACCACACAGGCCCTGGTGGAATGTTAATTTCAGATGAACCAAAAGATGAATTTTAGTATAAATGTGCCCAATAAATTTCTTGGGCCAGAGTTTTCTTATGTAGACGATGGAGCTATTAGTGGTTACCAATCCCATTACACAAGCTTGTGGTGGGAGCATTTATTATTGCAAAGAGGGGAGACCGTTATAACGACTGTGACCACATCCTCCTGAACCATACCATGGATGACTCAGAGGACATCCAGGGTAGTGTCCCCAGCACACCCAGAGGCTGTGACCACATGCTCATGGGCCACCAGAATTTAAGAATGTCCTGCTGTCCCTCCACCCTGATGGTCCATGAGGACACCCAGAGGCTGTGCCCATGTCCTCATGGACCATCAGGATGGAGGAACCTCACAGGACATTTGGGACAATGTCCCCATCCCACATAGAGGCTGTGCCCACATCCTCATGGACCATCAGGATGGAGAAACCTCAGAAGACAGGTGGGACAGTGTCCCCATCATACCCCAAAGCTCTGCCCATGTCCTCATGGACCATCAGCATGGAGGGACCTCAGAGGTCATGTGGGACAGTGTCCTCATCCCACACAGAAGCTGTGCCCATGTCCTCATGGACCATGAGGATGAAGGAACCTCAGAAGACAGCTGGGACTGTGTCCCCATCATACAACAAAGCTCTGTCCATGTCCTCATGGACCATCAGCATGGAGGGACCTCAGAGGACATGTGAGAAAGTGTCCCCATCCCACACAGAAGCTGTGCCTACATCCTCATGGACCACCAGGATGGAGGAACCTCAGAAGACAGCTGGGACAGTGTCCCCATCCCACACAGAGGCTGTGCCCACATCCTCATGGACCATCAGGATGGAGGAACCTCAGAAGACAACTGGGACAGTGTCCCCATCCCACACAGAGGCTCTGCCCACATCCTCATGGACCACTTGGATGACTGGGCCTCACAGGACAACTGGGACAGTGGCCCCATCACACAACCCACCTGGCTTGCAGGCCTGATGGATTCTCGCCAGCAGCTGTGCACATTTCTCATCGGCCCAGTCATGCAGGATCCTGGCCAGGATGTACAGATCTGCCTCCGGAAGGGGGTCTTGAAAGAAATCTCCTGTAACACAGGGTAGGGGCCCTGGGGTCAGCCTGTGATCCAATCCCCTTGGACTGGACCAGCAGCTGGCATGGTAAGGTCACCTGGGTGGATCGAGCATTCCCCAGATCTACCCAGCTGGTGACCCCCAGACCTAGCCCTGGACAAACAGAAGCCTCAATGGAGACAGTTCTGAAGATGTTTGGGGCCTTCATCAGATCTGGGAAATGATTTCATTTTTATTTCATTTCCTAAATGCCCTCGGCCAACGCACTCCAGGAGGCCGCTGGCAATCGGTCAGCATCTCCTGTGGCACCGACAGTCAGTGCACGTCTTTCTGAATGAAAAGAAATGCCCCAGAGAGACCCTTACACACAGCTGGTGTCAGACACTCAACTCTTGTAATATTTTTTTCCTGCAAAAGCGTCCATTTGGGAAGGAACCTTGGAGAGCCCTGTGCCTGCAGGGTCAACTCAGAAGGCCTGGGTGGACCCAAACTCTGCAAATTCACATGCATTTTGGAGGACGTGCTGGATGATACGTTGACCGTTTCCAGCATCTCTCCGGGGAGAGAGGAGATGTGGGGAGCTGAGCCCCATGTTTCCAAGGCGAGAGGGAGCCCCATTCCCGCTCTCGGCTCACGGTCCTCCTCCCTCGGAATCAATTATTGTCCCCCGATCTTGCCTTCAGCCCACTTCATTTATTCCAAGCCGTGAATGCTTTGAATTTAGACACCAGTATGAGGTTCCTGGGGCGGTCGTAAGAAAATACCACCCGCTGGGGGCTTAAACAACAGACATTCCTCCCCATGCCCTCACCACCCCATCCTGGAGGCCAGACGTCTGAGATCCAGGGGTCCCAAGGCCCTGCTCCCCCCTGCAGTGTCCCCCCTGCTTCTTAAAGCTCCTGGGCCTCCAGGCATCCCCGGGCTGGTGGCCGCCTCCCTCCCGTCTCTGCCTCCGTCTCCCCGACGCTTCTCTTCTGTGTCTGTTTCGCCTCCTCTGTCTCTTACAAGGACCCTGCCCTTGGACATCGGGCCCCCCTGACCCAGGACGACCGCATCTCAGGGCCTTCGCTTCATCCCGCGGACGCCCCCACGGTCGGCCTCTCCCAGCCCCCGGGTGCAAACCTACCTTCGCGGAAGGTGATCCCTTCTTCCCCTGGGAACACGAAGTGCTTCTTGGCCGCCTGCACCACAGCTGGGATGTCGAAAACGGTGACCTGGCGTCCAGGGTACAGAGAAACGCACTCCTTGGCCAGAGCCCCCGAACAGCCTGGAAGCAGACGCAGAGGGTGACGGGCAGAGACGAACCTGTGGGCGGCCACCGCGAACCCCTGAGGGTCCAGGTTGGGCACGTGGTCGTCACGGTCCCCGCGTCATCGACATGCCCCTGAGCCTACGTGGTCTCCCTGGTTCGCCCGGCCTGGGATCCAACTTCCAACGCAGCGTCTGAGCTGACTGCGGCCGGGGTGTCTGCCCACCGACGGCAGACAACGGCCCCATGAAGGAAGCCGGAAGCCCCAGGCAAGTGCCCCACGGAGGACGTTTCCAGGGACCACCCTGGTGACGACCCTTCCCGATGCCACCCAGTTCAGGTCCTGGATCCAGGAGACCTTTCCTGTGGTTTCACCCCCAGGGAGGCGATCCGTATACAGACATGCATTTCGATGGAATGACCTCCCCCCCCCCGTTTCTCAGGTCAGCTGAGGTCCAGAGATTCCAAGCAACCTGCCTGAGGTCACACAGCCAGCAAGAGACAGAACCCACTTTCGAATCCAGGGTCGAATCTCCCGACGATCGCGCCTGCTGCCCGCGGAGAGCCGAGGGAACAACTTCGGGCCAGCACGGTCTCCCTCGGGGAGCTCTGTCCATCTACCTCCTGCCACGGCCCTACAAGATCTGGGGACGCCCCCCTGAGCTGCAGACCCAGGACCCAGGACCTCCCGAATGGGCCTTGCACCCTGACGTCATCACCGGCAGCTCAGCCAAAGCCACCAAGTCTTCCCTTTGTTGTTAAAAGACGGACGATGCCGTTGGGCGGGTGCTCCCCAGCAGGTGCACCGAACCCCAAATCCTTAGGTCACATCCTTCATAGGCACCTTAGCACCCAAACATGAGGTTCCTAAGCTAAAGGGTGATATCTGCGCCCCCCCCCAGGACCCAGGAATCTCTCCTGGCCCCAGGGGCTCAGACAGAACTCGGCCTCCCCGAGGAAGCCCTATGACAAGTGTCACCTCAATGTCTCTGTGGGTTGCTCCCCAGCATCTCGGCCAGGGGACAAGGGGACGCCTTGGACTAAAGCACCCGTTCTTAGGCCGAGCCCTGCTGCCGTCTGCTCAGGTGTGGTCCCTGGACCGGCCACATCGGCACCCCTGGGAGCCGGTCAGAAACTCGGATAGAGCCTCGGAGGGTGGGGCGCCCACGTCTGAGTCGCAGCGGGTCCCCCGGGGGATTCTGACCGTCCCCACATCTCCGCAGAGGCGGCCAGTTGGTTACAGACGGTGACAAGCTGAGGCCACCGCAGGCTTCGGGATGTGAAAGAGCTTCATTGATGTTTCTCTCTCTCTCTCCCTCTCCCTTCCTCTCTCTGAAATCAATAAAAAATATATATATTCATAAAAATTTTAAAAAAGCCACAAAGGGTTCAGGCATGTCTCATACAGAATTTTATTTTTTTATTTTTTATTTTATTTTTATTTTTTTAAATGTATCTTTATTGGCTTCAGAGCGAGGAAAGGAGAGGGAGAGAGAGAGATAGAAACATCAATGATGAGAGAGTCATTGATCGAGCCCACAACCCGGGCATGTGCCCCGACCGGGAATCGAACCCCGATCGCCTGGATCCCAGGTCGACGCTGAACCGCTGAGCCACACCCAGCCGGGCAGAATTTTATTTTTTTTTAAATGTTTTTTATTGATTTTAGAGAAGAGAGAGAGAGAAACATCAATGGTGAGAGTCATTGATCGGCTGCCTCCTGCAAGCCCCCTACTGGGGAATCAAGCTTGTAACCTGGGCCTGGGCCCTGACCGGGAATCGAACCCAAGACCCGACCCTGCTCGGGCCGATGCTCTAACCACTGAGCCACACTGGCCAAGGTCTCCCCACACAGGATTTAATTTTTTTATTATTTATATATATATATATATATATATATATA